ATGGGTTCTGACCTTCTTTTGTATTTCTGATATTTATTTCTTTATTTGTAATATATTTTATTGATTTTTTATAAAAAACATAAAATCACTTAATGGTGAAAAGTGTGTTGTTTGGGTTACTTTTGTAAAATAGTCATTAACAATTGATTTCTATAATCTATAATCCACATAATGGTTTTAGTTGATTTCCCCTTTTCCCAAAATATCCTCTTTTGCAAACATTGAGTTAATACAATTCTTATTGTTTTGATAGATAACAATTAATCACATCAATGTAATATTTCTTTTCTATCCAATCATTCTGGTTGCCTTATCATAGATCCTGTTACAGTTCTTATTTTAGTTTGTTTCTCCCACCAAATTCTAGATATTCTTACTGGTTAAGATTTTCTCAAAAAATAATTATATTTAAAAATTTAACTCTATTTTTCCATAGGAACCATCTCACACTTTTACATTTCATAAGGAATAGAAAAAACAATAAAAAAGAAAGGAGAGCAAGAGTAAAGAAATATAAAAAATAACATACTACTTAAAATATATATCCCTCCTAAGCTAGTATATATTTATTTTCTAAATTTCTTATTCTTTTTAACTATAATTAAAAATATGTTTAATCTTTAAACATTCCATTTAATACATCCAGTCATCTAGTCCTTTAACTCTTATTCAAAACATTTTTATCCATTATAATGTTCTTAAATTCAATCACATTTAAGTATCTAAAACATTTCCTGTATCTAAGTCATTTCAACTTTTTTATTCATATCAAGAAAGAGAACAAAAAAGGGAAAAAAGCATACTATATTATTTAGGGAATTCATCCCTCTTAGAATGACATATATATTCTAAAACTTTTCTGTTTCTTTTGTTGTTGTTGTTGTTAATTGCGAAGTCGTGTCCGACCCATCGCGACCCCATGGACAACATTCCTCCAGGTCTTCCTGTCCTCTACCATCTTCTGGAGTCAATTTAAGTTCACACCTACTGCTTCAGTGACTCCATCCAGCCATCTCATTCTCTGTCGTCCCTTTCTTCTATTGCCCTCAATCTTTCCCAGCATTAGGCCCTTCTCCAGTGAGTCCTTCCTTCTCATTAGGTGGCCAAAGTATTTTGAGTTTCAACTTCAGGATCTGGCCTTCTAAAGAGCAGTCGGGTTGATCTCTTCTAGGACTGACCGGTTTGAACGCCTTGCAGTCCAAGGGACTCGCAGGAGTCTTCTCCAGCACCATAGTTCAAAGGCCTCAATTCTTTGGCGCTCAGCCTTTCTTATGGTCCAACTTTCATAGCCATACATTGCAACTGGAAAACCATGGCCTGGACTATACGCACTTTTGTTGGCAGGGTGATGTCTCTGCTTTTTAGTATGCTGTCTAGATTTGCCATAGCTTTCCTCCCCAGGAGCAAGCGTCTTTTAATTTCTTGGCTGCAGTCCCCATCTGAGGTGATCTTGGAGCCCAGAAAAATAAAATCTGTCACTACCTCCATTTCTTCCCCATCTATTTGCCAGGAATTGAGAGGGCCGGATGCCATGATTTTGGTTTTCTTAATGTTGAGTTTCAAGCCAACTTTTGCACTCTCCTTCTTCACCCGCATCAAGAGGCTCTTTAGTTCCTCTTCACTTTCTGCCATTAGAGTGGTATCATCTGCATATCTTAGGTTGTTGATATTTCTCCCGGCAATCTTAATTCCAACTTTTGATTCATCTAGCCCTGCCTTTCTCATGATGTGCTCTGCATATAAGTTAAATAGGCAGGGCGACAGTATACATCCTTGCCGGACTCCTTTTCCAATTTTGAACCAATCAGTGGTTCCGTGTTCGGTTCTCACTGTTGCTTCTTGACCCGCATATAGGTTTCTCAAGAGACAAATGAGATGGTCTGGTACTCCCATCTCTTTGAGAACTTGCCACAATTTGTTGTGATCCACACAATCAAAGGCTTTTGCATAGTCAATGAAGCAGAAGTAGATGTTTTTCTGGAACTCCCTAGCTTTCTCCATGATCCAGCGTATGTTGGCAATTTGATCTCTAGTTCCTCTGCCTCTTCGAAATCCTGCCTGTACTTCTGGTAGTTCTCGATCCACATACTGCTGGAGTCTAGCTTGTAGGATTTTAATCATAACTTTACTAGCATGTGAAATGAGTGCAATGGTGCGATAGTTTGAACATTCTTTGGCATTGCCTTTCAACAAACGTTTCTTTTTAAAGTATTCTCTCCGGTAAGTTCCATCATATATTTTCTTGGTTTCCACTTTAGTCTTTTTCCTTTGCCCAGTATCTTTCTTAATCAATGTATTTTGCTGAATCAAAAAGTTTTTCCGTATGTTCATAAATTTTGCTGTAGATATAAAAATTAAATCAGGTGAAGTGTCTTTGTACGGGGCCTCTATCTTTCCATGTTTGTTGAAAATCTTTTTCTTTTTCTTTCTCTCTACTTCTCTTATCATTTCCTTTCTCTCCAATGTTCCTGACATCTCTACAGTCCATTTTATCCAATCTGTTTTCTTGTCCTCAGATTTATTTTGTAGTCTTAAGGGATAAGTTGTTTTTTCCAATTCTCGTGAATTTTTTTCCACTAGGATTAAATCATGTTTCCTTGTTTTGTTAAGTTCCCTCTTTAAGTCTCTATTCTCAATTCTATATCCATTTATCTGTTTTATCTCTCCTTCTCTGTTGTTGTTTTCTGGGAATTTTTTGTTGTAGTTTATTTATTTATTTATGAGACTTATATACCGCTTTAAGTGCAAGTACTCTCTAAGCGGTGTACACCAGTAAGCAATGTATATATATATTTACATTGCCCCCAACAATCTGGGTCCTCATTTTACCTACCCCGGAAGGATGGAAGGCTGAGTCAACCTTGAGCCGGTGAGATTTGAACACAGTCAGCTAAAGTGGCCTGCAGTACTGCACTCTAACTGCTGCGCCACCTCAGCTCTTCTAGTTAACTTAGAAATAGATTGATTTATATTTTCAAAGTTATTTTGGATTTCTTTGTGGTTGAAAGTCATTGTTGTTTGAATTAGTTGCAGTATACTATATATCTCCTCCTGTGAAGAATTTATGTTTTCTTAATATGTTCTTTCTATATGTCTCTGATCCATGATGACCAAGAATTTGAGTTTTTCTCTTCCTTTCTTTTCTCTGCAAATAGCTTTAGAGTCCCAATTAAATAGATATTTGTAATCCACATAGTTCAAAGAAGATTTTTTTTCCTGAAATTTATAATTCTCTCTTTGTTTACAGCCCAGATTATTGTCCTTTTTTGTCACAGCTGTTCTTTGTTGTTAAAACTTTGAAGGTCACAAACACAGATTAGCTTTTCCCAGGTTTTGCCAAGTCTTATATTAAAGTCATAGCTCTCATAGTCTTCATCCACCACTAAGTGTCAGCAACTATTTGTTTTTCAATTTCCAAAATGAACAATTATCTTTAAAATGAGAGTCTTAATCATTCAAACAATTTTAGATTTATCCAGATTTAAGTTTTAAATTTCAGGTTTTATATTATTTCACTTCCATATATTTTGATCCTCCATAAAAAGATTAATTTGCCACTTCCGTTAGTATAAGGATGGGGCGAAAATCCCCTCCTTCCCTTTTGGAGATATTTTGCTTCTTGGGGATCTTTTCCAGGAAATTAAATGTAGAATAGAAAAGAGAAGCTCAAATTCCTCATTCATTTGGAATGGTCACTAAATGAACTATTGTGAGTTGAGAACTACCTACACCCCATTCCCTCCATGACTAAGAAAACCTATAATATTTGCCATATTGAGAAAAGCCTTTCCACACAAGAGTAATTTGAAAGTAATTTGACAAGGTTGAGTCCTAGTTCCTGTTATGTTCAATACGCTTATAAGTGATAATAGAAGGATTGCTAGGTAAGGTTTGTCTTTTTTCAGATGACACAAATGTATGTAATAAGAGTTGATATTCCTGGGGGTATTCATAACATGGAAAACAATTTGGCTTTGCTGAATAATTGATAAAAAATGTGGAAACTGCAGTTTAATGTTTCTAATGTAAGAGCATGCAGTTAGGGGGCAAAAAATTCCTCTGGCAGAGTATAGTATTGGAATACTACGGAGCTAATGACTGGTCTTCAGAGTGCTAACAAACAGATTTAAATCCTGCCATTCACCACCATCCAGTCAGAACCGAAGAAGCTTCTTGGATGAAAAATGAAATGTTCTCAAGGAAAAAAAAAAGTCCTGTTGCCTTTTCAAAAAGCATCTTTGGGACAAAATTCTGGAATGCATCACTAAAGGGATCACCAGCAGGAAAAAGGAGATCCTAATCCTGCTACATAGGGCTTTAGTCAGACCCCATTTAGAATACTGTGTCCAGTTCTGGAGGCCTCACTTGATATTGATAAAATTGAGCAAGTCCAGAGATGGGCAACAAAAATGGTGAAGGGTCTGAGGAACAAAACATATAAAGAGAGATGGAAGAAACTGAGTATGTACAGCCTGGAGAACAGAAGAGAAAGGTGTGAAAAGATTTAAATCTTTAAATAAGGGTGCGAATAAGGTTCTAGAAGGCAGTATTTTCAGTATTAAGCAAAAATCAAGAGCATGGGGGCATAACCTCAAATTGACAGGGAAATTCAAAAGTAATGTTAGAAATTATAAGTTCACAGAAAGAATAGTGGAAGCTTGAAATCAATGTCCAGAGGACGTAGTGGGTCAGTCTTCAGTAACTGAGTTGAAACATGCTTGGGATAAACACATGTCCATCATCAAAAAAAAAAAAGTAAAAAGAAATAAAATATAATAATAATAATTTAAATAAATAAAAACTCAAAGGGCAGACCACTTTTTCTGCCATCAGTTTTCTATGTTTCTATGAAATCTTATGCATTATCACTCCTCCCCCCAAATTGGCTTGCCTATTTGTTTTCTTAACTTGAAATACAGTATTACAAGAAAATAAAATGATATGGATCTGCTATGTTACCTTTGATTCCATATAATTGTCTCATTGTTTTTCTGCCTCAGCCCTGTTTTTCCAGGACTATTTGAATTTTGTTCTCGATATACTGGAGCTTCCTTGCAAGGAGCAACACAGCTGAATAATAAGGTACAGATGTGAAGCCGCCTTCCACCATTTCATACCTTAAGATATATTGACTAGATAGAACATTCTTCTACCGCTGTTTTCAATTATACAGTTAAATGGCATTCATAACTTTTTATTGAATTTTATTGAAGTATGATCATATTTATAAAGTTGAATGAATGCATGAGCCTAAATTAGTAATTGAAACGTTTCCAGTTCACTTTGGACTGGATTTTATTTAAATCATGATTTTAATCACTAGTTAGGAAGATTAATTATTTAAATTACAATTTATTCATTAGTCCACAAGATTCTGTAATCATCTTTAGTAAAAATGCATTTTTAACTTGAATTCATATATCTCAGTACTCAAAACAATGCACATACAGATTTCATTTTTTAAAAGTCCATATTATATAAAACAATGATTTAGTCAGATTTTTAGAATAAAAAATGGAATGATAGTTCTATGTAAGCAGATACATACTTGTGAAGCCATATGAATATGAACTAGTTTCATTTTAATTAATTGCGGAAATTTGGGAGGATATTTTTGATAACTTTTGTCAAACTATCATCAGATTTCTGTGCCCGGCTGTTTTGACTGGGTTTTGATCAATATAAGATACTTATTACGTCTTAGAACCTCAGAATACATTGTGATCATTTTCTGTTCCTCTCTTCAGCCCTTTGATTTGTATTTAAATTTATCCTCCTTGCCTCAACCTGCTTCCTTGACTCAAATTACTGCTTTCTTTAGCTTTTGCACTTTTAGACAGATATCAGTTACAAGACCTATCATCTTGTAGAAATAAGATATAAAAAAGCAGAATAGAATGCAATTGTATATAAGTGAATATATATAGTGTATGTATGTATGTATAATGTTTGTGGTTATTTTTATGTTCATTTAAGAATAGTTTTAAAATTCTTTTTAATTTTTTTTAAATTGTATCCTGATAATTTATGCAAAGGCTTATACAGCGCTTGGCATAAGGGTTGCAAAGGATGACAAGAATGATACTCTTATACACATAAATGTGTATACTCAGAACTGAACGTGTGGAACTCCTAGTAAAGGCAGAGGTCTGTATCCAAACTGAACACAGCAAGAAAAAAGCAATTACTAGAAAAAAAAATAAACCCCAAGAGAAAGACCATTGGTAGCATGGTAGCATTAACAGGACAAAAAAAGTAAGAAGACTGACCTCACAACCACTGAAGCAAACAATTTCATAGGATTATAGAAAATTACTAGAGAAAGTAAAATTTAGAAACATTATACACAATATTAGCGTAAAACAGGAAAGGAGGAATTATTATATATGTCAAAGAAAAATAAAATTAAATAAATATACTTGGATGAAAAGGGGTGAATTTTAATGTTGGAAATAGTATTAGAGTAGAAACAGTATATGTACTAAATAATATGAGAATATTTGTATGATCACCATGCTTAGATGGAATTCCGGTCGAGTCTTATAAAAAATATGAGTGTTACTACAATGAATAATGTTGGATTCCTAGTAAGTAGTAGAATATGAAAGAAGGAAAATGTAAATAAGAAACAATGGGGCAATAAGGACAAATATTTCAAAAAGAAAGAGGGGGGAAATGTAAAGAATAGAAGAATACTGTTACAAACTGCTGTTAACAAAAAAGGATATATTACGTGTGTATGTGTGCAATGTTTGATGTGTTTTGTTTTGTTTTGTTCGTCTAAAATAATAAAAATTAAAAAAAGAAAAAAAAGATATACTTCTACAGAAATACATAGTACAAAGGATGAAAGTCTTCTTAAATGTATTTGAGTGAATATTAGAGGAAAAATAAATGATATTTCTATAGGTTTATATTACAATCAGCCCAACCAAGCAAAGAAATAGGTGCTAATTTGCTAATCAGTTAGTGGAGGTTTATAGGAACACATCATTGATACCAACTGGGAGACAAACTGTAAGGACCCACCTCAATTTACATCTTAAGAAGACATCTTGGAATGTCTCTTCCAACAGGGATCTTTATTAAGAGAAACTGGTTTCAGGTATGCTAGACAGGATCTGGGGAATTCTCTCCCACCATTCAATGTTTTAAAGTGTTCCCAAGCTTGAGCATTGAGCCCTATCCAGCAACATTAAGTTCAGTGGTGAGAAACGTAAGGTCTTGAACTTAGGCAGGAAAAACCAAATGCACTAAATAGAATAGGCAGGACCTGGCTCAAATATATTAACTGTGAGAAAGATCTAGGTATCCTAGTGGATCACCACTTAACTATGAGCCAGCGGTATGCTGCAATTGCCAAAAAAGCCAATGCAGTCTTAGGCTGCATCAACGAGGATAGCATCAAAACTTATCATGAGAAATGATAACACCACTGTATATTGCACTTGGAATAGAGGGAGTCAACTGAACTGAAAAATGTGACTTATGACCGTTTTTCACACTTACAACCATTGCAGCATCCCTATGGTCATGGGATCTAAATTCAGGTGCTTGTATTTATGACAGTTGCATTGTCCTGCAGTCATGTGATCACCATTTGTAATCTTCCCAGCCAGTTTCTGACAAGCAAAGTCAACGGGGAAAGCCAGATTTGCTTAGCTACAGTATGATTCACTTAACAACAGCAGTGAATTGCTTAACAACTGTGGCAAAAGATTGTAAAATCAGTAATGCAGCTATTAATTCACTTAATAGCTGCATTACTTAGCAACAGACATTTTGGGCTCAATTGTGGTCATAAATCAAGAATTGCTTCCAGTTCTGTTCATCACAATACAAAAAAGATTCTGAAACCCTACAGAGAAGAGCAACAAAGATGGTATAGGATCTGGAAGCTAAACTATATGATGAACGTTTAAGGGAACTAGGTATGTCTAGCCCAGAGGTAGGGAACCTTGACTCTTTTATAACTTGTGGACTTCAACTCCCAGAATTCCTGAGTCAGCATGGCTGGTTCAGGAATTCTGGGTATTGAAGTCCACACGTCATAAAATAGACAAGGTTCCCTACCCTTGGAATAGCCTAACAAAGAGAAGGATTAGGAGTGATGTGATAGCTGATTTCTAGTACTTAAGGGGCAGTAACAGAAAAGAGATTTGATATTCTCCAAAGCACCTGAGAGTAGAACAAGAAGCAATCAGTGCAAGATTGGATACAGAGGCATTCAACCTGGAACTAAGGAGAAATTTTCTGACAGTGAGAACAATTATTCAGTGGAACAACTTGTCTCCCGGAGTAGTAAATACTCCATCACTGGATATTTTCAAGAAAAGTTTGGACATTGATTTGTCTGGCATGGTATAAGGTCTCTTGCCTTGGGCGGGGGTTGGACTAGAAGATCCCCAAGGTTTCTTTCAGGCCTGTGATTCAATGTTTCTAGTGCAGTTTATTAAAAGCGGATAATACAGACTAGTGAAATAATTTAAGGTATAGCTTTTAGGGATATTTTATTAGATATTTCATTTTGCGATAATTCTTTTTTCCAAAGTTAATATTTCTCTTCTATTTTTAGATTTGTGATATTGCAATTAATTGGGCTGGAGGCCTGCATCATGCCAAGAAGTTTGAGGTAATCGCCAAGACTGCTTTATTTATTAGGAAAGCATAATATTTCCTTTTAACTGACATAATTTCTTTATTTTCATTCTCTAGGCTTCTGGGTTTTGTTACGTGAATGACATCGTGATTGGCATTTTGGAGCTTCTCAAGTAAGCATTCTTGTTTGCATGAATAATTCACCACAGTACAAAGTGTTCTCTTATCACAGTGCCTTCCCTGGGATTCTAGGTATAAATCTAGTTATATGAGACCTCTTTCCAGGTGCCAAAAATTAAAAATGGCCAATCATTTACAAAAGGCTGGAAAACTCACTCCAGAGTTCATCATAAACTAAAAGAAAGAAAGACAAATATAAAGAGTAAAAAAGCACAAAGAAAAAAAATAGAGGGGAAAAAAGATAATATAGTAATGAAAGAGAAAAGAAATAAAGAAAGAAGTGACTTCCAACCTTGATTGCAACAATTTTTAACAGTTTTGGTAACTTTTCACGTTCTCTAATTTATAACCAATTTTGTCTCCATTCCATGACCCATCTCTTACCTGTAAACAATAAAGCATAATTTCAGTCCTGGTGTCAGCAAAAGTCCATTAAGAGTTGTCAGAAAGTTGTTCCTCAGTTGTCTGAAGATAAGCTGCTGTGACATGTAACCTTATTGAAATAAACCAATTTTATATTCCTTCCTTTTACTTCTTAGTCTTTAATCCGTTCAAGTAATGTTGTAGAATTTCATTTATTTTCCTTTTTTTTTTTGCCCGTTCTCACAATTTTCATCCAACCTCTAACAGATCTCTTTTGTAAATCCAATTTATTATTTGTACTTCACTTTTGATTTTTAAAGCATTAACTGATTTCTTTTTCGTGCCTAATGAGGTATCTTTTTCCATATCATTCTTGTAACCTGCCATTAGTAGTTCCACTTTTAGTGTCAATTCTGCCTCTGTCTTGTCAGATAAAATTTGTTCTTTTTCTGCTATTTCTTCAACAACATCTTTTGACACTGTCTATAAAACCAGCGTCACTATTGACATTGTTGATATTAACTTCATTTTTCAAAAGTGCCCATCAGTATTTCTAATGTTACAATGTTTTGTATAATTCTGTAGCTTTGGTTAACAAACAGAAGCTTAGCCCTCCCGGTTGTAGTAGTTAAGCGGTCTCCCTGGTCATTAAGCAGAGGGAGTGAAAGAATTGCCTGTTGAGTTCAGCTCCTGTCTGGGTGCAGAAGGGAAACTCCTTCTGGGTTGCAGAAACTTCAGATGTTCAGATCTGACCTCTCCTTCTGCAGCCTGCCAGAGGAGTTCTCCTATCCTCCGTGCTTGGAAGGGAACTTTTCCAGAGAGCTGCAGGAAGGGAGCTCAGATCTTAGTGATCCAATCTCCATTTCTGTAGCCTGCTGGAAAAGTTCCCCTCCACAAGCAACACTTCTCTTCTCAAAGAACTGCCTTGCAGGGCAGGGTGGGGAAAAATTCAGCTCCACGTGGTTCTCTCCTGGCAAGCGGCCTTTTTTTTCTCAAAGAGCTGCCGGCCAGGAGGGAATCTCAGCTTTGTGGCAGGCTGAGCAGCAGTAACATGCAAACTTCCCTGCTGGTTTCCCCATTGACTTTCTGGGAAGCTAGCAGAGGTTGCAAATGGCAATCATATGATTTCAAGGCTCTTGGCAACCAGTCTTAAATATGAACAGGTTGCCAAGCACTCCGATCATATTCATGTGAACTCTGGTGGTGATTTTTCATACATGAGACTTTAAGATTTACCGATGATAGGAGATACTGTTTTTCCCACAGAAAAGATTTTTTTTTCTCTGATAGGTACCACCCACGTGTGCTTTACATTGATATAGACATCCATCATGGAGATGGTGTACAGGAAGCTTTTTACTTGACAGACCGTGTCATGACAGTATCTTTTCACAAATATGGGAATTACTTTTTCCCTGGTACAGGTACAAAATCTTTTACTGTTCTTTGTCAGCTTTTAAGAATCAGAACTCTATTAGCCAGTTAATAAGTATGTGAAAGAATTTGAAATTCTGTGTCACAATATTTATGGAAAATTGAGATAACATTTTCTAATATGTACCCTTATTTGAATTCTACACTGTCATATAGGTGACATGTATGAAGTTGGAGCTGAGAGTGGCCGCTATTACTGTCTAAATGTACCTTTGCGGGATGGCATTGATGACCAAAGTGAGTGAGTCTTCCATTGGGCCTGGTATATTATCCATCTTCAGTGCATATTTCAGCAGAGAAATTATAGCAGTGGTTTCTTTGTCTTTTTGTTTGGAAGGTTATAAGCACCTCTTCCAGCCAGTCATTAATCAAGTGGTGGAATTCTATCAGCCAACTTGCATAGTGTTACAGGTGAGAATTTTTGATGGCCATTGCTTGTGGTACGGGTTACAAGAAGGGCTACAATAATGATGGGTAGTTTTGCTGGGAAATTTCAATTGTCTTTATTCCTCATTTTTGTTTCTCACCCTCACCCCCTTAAGTGTGGTGCTGACTCCTTAGGCTGTGATCGTCTGGGCTGCTTTAACCTCAGTATAAGAGGACATGGGTAAGTCCATCTAATAACCCATCAAAAATTAAATGGGAAATTAGGCTAGTAAGGATATGACTCTGCTTTTTTCTCCTTTTAATGTTGTTGACGTTCTGATTTTTAGGCATTAAGACACCTCCCAAATTCTCCTGTACCCCTCTTCTATTATAAAACACTTTTCCAAAACTGCTGCCAACCATCCTGCAGAAAAAAGACATGTATTTGTACTGCTATTTCAATCGTATTTAAATACATCTTCCATTGGAGCTGACTTGTAGCAATCAGGATTTGAAGGGGGAAAGGTGATTTAGATCTTCTTTGGGCATCTCCTTAAATCTCCATTTGCATCTTTGAGTATAGGAAAAAGCACAGCTTTTTCAAACAATGGCAGCAGAGACAATGGAGTGCTTCTGGGCAGTCTGTGTAATCTTTTCCCCTTCAATTCCAAACCACTGCAGAACTCTATTTGCACCTCAGTGGAAAAAATATATACTTTTAGTGCTTTTAGTTTTTCTGTTGCAGGCTAATATGAATTTGTATGGTGTGTGAATATTGGGGAAAAAAGTTGTTCTAATCAAACATGAAACTCCAAATGCACAAGCAAAACTTTGGAAGATCCAGCACATCTTTTTTTTTTATTTTTTTATTTTTTTGCTTTTCTTTTTTGCCCTTGACAGTTGCAGTCTGAAATTATGATGTTTAAGATACCAAGAGATATTTTATATTACCAACGTAATAGTATGGTGTCAGAATTGTTGATCTGGAAATGAGTTGTCAAATAGCAGCTTTTAATATTTCTTGTTGATTGGGAAATATTGTCAGTCTTTTTTAGCAGGTTCCCTTTCTAAAGCTAGGCTGCAAAATGGCTGGGTTTTTTTTTTTTATTGAAAATTTTTTATAAATTTTTACAAAAAAAAAACAAAAAGGTAACAATACAACAACAGCATAAACAAGGAACTAAACAAAACAGAACAAAACAACCCTTCCCCTACCCCCCCAAAATACCCACTCCCTCCCCCCCCGGAGCTTCCCAGAGCAGAATATAGGCTTAATTAAAAAATTTTTAAAAAGTTATATGAAAAAAAAGAATATAACACTAAGATATATGTATATATATAAAAATAAGAATTATGAAAAAACTAAATGATATTTTTATATCCAATTTAAATTGTATAAACTTTATCCATTTATCCCAAACAGCAAGAAATTTCTCTTGCGATTGTTCTTTTAAAAAAGCCGAAATCTTTGCCATTTCCGCCAAATAAGACACTTTAAGAAACCATTCCTGCAAAGTAGGCAAAGATTCCTTCTTCCAATATTGTCCTACTAACAGCCTTGCGGCTGTGATCAAGTTTAACATCAATATAACCTCCTTTGTATCACAATCAGTAACTATACCTAACAAAAATAATTGTGGAGTAAATTTTACCCTCCTTCTAAAAATTCTCTGAATATTCCACCATATCTTAATCCAAAAAGCTTTTATATTTCTGCACGACCACCAAATATGATAATAGGTGGCATCCAAACAACCACATCTCCAACATTTAGGCTGAAGGTCAGGGTACATCAAAGACATTTTTTGTGGGTCAAGGTGCCATCTATAGAACATTTTGTAGAAATTCTCCCTTAAATTCTGTGCTTGTGTAAATTTAACATTTCTCACCCAAATGGTTTCCCAGGTATCCAGTAGGACTGGTTCACCAAAATTTTGCGCCCATCTGATCATACAATCTTTGATTAATTCTGTTTCTGAGTCCAATTCCACTAAAACCCCATAAATTCTCTTAATATGAGTTTGTCTTTGATCCTTCACTTGCTTGATAAGATTTTCATCTTCTCTGAGAAAACCCAGCTTATAATCCATCTTCCATCTTTCTACTAATTACCTATATTGAAACCAAGAATAAGTAATATTTTCATGTACTAACTCTTCCAGTAATTTTAACTGCCAATTTTGTCCATCCCATCTAAGTAACTGTGTATAAGACACCATGTCCATTTTAACACCTCTTTTTATTCCTTCTATTGCATGCCAAGGTATAGCCCATAGTGGTACTTTAAAATCACTTTTATAATATTTTCTCCAGACCCTAAGTAGAGAAATTCTTATAATATGAGATTTAAAAGCCCGATCCACTTTTTTATTAAATATTAAATAGGCATGCCAACCAAAAAGTAAATCCCATCCCTCCAAATGGATATCTCAAGGTTTGTTAAATTTACCCAATCACTAATTAATGTTAAAGCCACCGCATCATAGTATAATTTCAAATTCAGTACCTTGAGTCCACCTCTCTCACGGAAGTCTTGCATGATTTTAAACTTAACCCTTGGCTTTTTCCCTGCCCAAATGAATTTGTTAATACCTTTCTGCCATTCACTTAAATTAATCTCATTCTTCAAAATCGGTAGCATTTGAAACAAAAAAAGAAACTTGGGTAGAATATTCATTTTTATCACTGCAATTCTTCCCATGAGAGATAATTGCAACTTCTCCCAATTCCTCAAGTCTTTCTGTACACTAACCCACAACCTTTCATAATTATTTTTAAACAATTTTGCATTAGAAACAGATAACAACACCCCCAAATATTTTACCTTATTAACAATTTCAAAACCCGTCAAGTTAGCCAGAATCTGCTTCTCCCGAATAGTCATATTTTTAGGTAGGATTTTAGTCTTGTTAACATTAATCTTGAAACCCGAAACCGAACCATAATGATAAATCAACTGCAATAACTTTACTACAGAGTGAATAGGTTGCGACAAAGTAACCACCAAGTCGTCCGCAAAAGCTCTTAACTTGTATTCTTTTTTGTTAACTTCTATTCCTTTTATTTCCTGCGACTCTCGAATTTTGATCAACAATATTTCCAATGTTAAAACAAACAGCAACGGTGATAGTGGACATCCCTGTCTAGTACCTTTCTCTATTGTAAAAACCTCTGACAAGCCTCCGTTTACAATAAGTTGAGCCGTTTGTTTTTGGTATATTACCGTAAGAGCTTGTAATATCTTTTCACCAAAATTCATCTCTTCAATTACTCTTAACATAAAATGCCAGTTCAATTGATCAAAAGCTTTTTCAGCATCTAAAAATATCAACCCTGCAGGAACTTGATCGTTCTTGTCTAGATATTCTAGTAAATTAATGATTTGTCTAGCATTATTTTTCATATATCTACCAGTTATAAATCCAGATTGGTCTTTATGCACAAGATGATGCACAACCCTCATAAACCTATTTACTAAAATTTTTACAAATATCTTGTAATCAACATTTAAAAGAGATACAGGTCTATAATTCTTTGGTAAAGTAAGATCTTGATCCTCTTTTGGAATCAAAGATATAAAAGCACTACGCCATGAGGGAGGAATCTCTGAACCCTGTAAAATATCATTAAAAAGATCACCTAATGGTTGGATCATCTCTTCTATTAAAGCTTTATAATAAACAGATGTCAACCCATCCTTACCCGGTGCTTTCCCTGGTTTCAATTGTTTAATTGCTGTCGCAATTTCCTCATTAGTAATTGAACCATTAATTTCATGTTTCTGGTCCTCTGTCAATTTGGGAAGGCTGGCCTCACTTAAATATTTATTTATATCTAAGATTTGCACATTCGTAGATTTATATAATTTCTGATAATAATCTAAAAAAGATTTCTTAATCAATTCCTTCTGAAACACTAATTTACCCTTATAGTTTATTTTATCTATTATTCTCTGTCTCTGTTTCTTTCTTAATTGATAGGCCAACCATCTCCCTGGTTTGTTAGCATTACAAAATGTATTTTGTTTCATAAACAATAAATTGGTTGCGGATTGTTCCGCAATCAACATATTAAATTGTGTTTTTAGCAACTTTATAGATTCTTTAATCCTTTCATCTGAAGGATTTAGAATCAAAGCCTTTTCTTTTAATTTAATTTCATCTTCCAGTTCTTTACGTTTCTGAGTCTGCTTTTGCCTATGAAAGTTATTCATTTTTATCAGGATCCCACGCATGAATGCTTTACCTGCATCCCATACCATTGACATTGGAGTCCCCTTATACATATTTAAAGCAAAATAATCCTTTAAACACTCCTTTAACTTTTGAATATTCTTTTCTTGTCTGAATAAGTTCTCATTCATCCTCCAGGATCTTCTTTCCTCTTTTTCTTGAATCAGCTCCATCCAAACTGGACTATGATCCGTCAACGACCTAGGAAAAATCTTAACATTCTTTACTCTATTATATAAGTCCGTTGTGATTAAGAAAAAGTCAATTCTTGAAAAGGATTGGTGTCTATCTGAAAAAAAGGTAAAGTCTCTCTCCTCTTGATTACGTTCCCGCCAATAATCTCTTAATTCCCAGTCCTCTTTCATGTCAAAAAAGGCTTTAGGTAGTTTTGCCTGTTTAAAAAGAGGAGAAGAACCTTTCTTGTCCCTTTGTATATCTAAGACACCATTCCAATCACCCATTAATACCACGGATCTATAGTCCAGCAAAGTTATTTTTTGATGTAACAATCTATAAAATTGTTCCTGTTGCTGATTTGGTGCATAAAGTCCCACTATAAGTATTTTCTTACCATATAAACCAAGTTCAATCATCACATATCTTCCTTGGGGATCTGATTCTACCAGACAAGCTGGTAAATTTTGCTTCACATAGATGACCACTCCCCCCTTTTTCCCAGGAGCAGAAGATACAAAATGAGATCCCAGACGAGCATTGGCTAAATATTTTTGATCTTTAAGTAAAATATGAGTTTCCTGTAGGCAGATAATATCATTATTATGTTGCTTTAAATAGTAGAAGATTTTTTTCCTTTTCTGTGGAGAATTTAAACCGTTAACATTCCAGGTCAGGAACTTTGCCATCTCCCTTGGCCAGGAGCCTGGAGAAGACTACCTGAAGATCTGCCATTGCTATATGTGTTGCAGAACTCTTGGGTCTTGCTCCTCCCACCGGCTGTGAGACACTTTCCGAAGAGGAAGATTCTTTAATCTCTTTCTTTTGTTGCTCCTTTTCCTTGCGTCTATGTGCTGCACGGGTCATCCTCTGCTCTTTAACCTCTGTTTGACGTTGCCCTTCAGCTTGCCACTTCCCAGCAGAGATCAGACCTAATGCTTCAGATTGCTGTTCCAGCTCTTTACCACTCAAAGGTTTCTGAACAGATGAAGCTGAGCCTGCACCCAGGACCATATTATAAAACTCTTTAGCTTTAACAACCGTGTTCAACCTGTAACGCATCCCCGCATGGCTCAGAGTAATACCCATCGGGATCTCCCATCTGAATGGCATCAGTCTTGCTTTAAGCTCATTAGCTAAGAAAGCAAAATCTTTCCTGTTTCTTAAGATTTTTGATGGGATTTCCTTTAAAATGATAACATCTTGGGCAGCAATCTGGAATCTCTTATTATAAAAAACTTGTATAATTTCATTGCGCAGAGACTTCTTTGTGAAATAAATCACAACATCTCTAGGCAAATTCTTTTGCTTCGCTATCCAAGAATTAACTCTATAAATTTTTTCCACTTCTCTGCGCAATTCTCCTTTATCCATATTCAGAGCAACAGCTAGATCAGTAAGCACCATCTCCATCAGATCTTGATTCATATCTTCCTTGAGACCCCTAATCCTCAGGGCGTGTTCCATCTCCCTATACTGAGACATAAGAATATCTACTTGTGAGATCTCCATCTTACTTTCCATATCTTGAAATTTATCCTCAAAAAAATCAACTTTATCAGCAACTTCCTCCACTCTCGAGTCCAACTTCACCACCACCGAAGCCAAACCTGATACAGCTGTAACTATATCTTGCCGCAAAATAGTATTATTATCCTCTAGTGAATTCTTCATTCCATTCAATTCCTCTTTAATTTCAGATTTAATCTGTACCACAAGCTGCTTCATTTCATCTCTGATTTGAGATACAGCATCTCCCATTATATTTTTAATCTCTTGTGCAGACAGGCCTGGTGGAGGAGGAGAAGGTGGTGACTGGGTCGGTGGTACATGTTTGGGTTGTTGTTGTTGTTGTTGTACAGTTAAAGTTGTGGGAGAGGAGACCACCTTAGGTAATATAGAAGGTGGCTGTCTCTTTGAATCCATTTTTTAAGACACAGTTCTCTCTTCCCTTCTCTCCAGAAAAAAAGAGGAGGGAGATAAAAGTTAAAAAACAAAATAGTATAGTCCTTAAAATTCCAAGAAAGAAAAAAAAAACCCAAAAGAGAAATCCAAAGCCAAGAACAAAAAAGTCAAAAGCAATCATTTAAGTCCAATACTTTCCAAAAAAAATAAAAGCAAGGAGACAAAAGAAAAAAAAAAAAGCCGAACACCATCTTATTTTCTCTCTCCGTGCCGGCAAAAAAAAAAAAAGAACAAAGGAGAAGTAACCAAAACTAAATAAAAAGAGAAAGTAAAACACTAACTATTTAAAAGAAAATCCTTTAAACCGCTCTGTCCGCTTTGAAATTACTCACCGAACCTCTGTAACCGCGGAGATAGAAGCGGGTTTCTTTTGCTTCCAAAGAAGCAAAAACAGCTGGGAGGCGGAGATCAGCAGGAGTTCCGAGGGAACACTCCTTCCACCCCCTCTAGGAAAAAATCCTGAGGGGGTTCAGGGGTTCTACCTCTACTCCTGCATTCTCTACCCCTTCCCTTTGCCCGGGAAGGGGATTCCGACCCGCGGGCCAGCTGATATGCGCTGTGCTCCGCGGATCTGACACCTTCCCAGCTGGACGGCTACAGAGTAGCCGCCATCGCCGCCGCCCCGTACCGGAAGCTTGGGTTTTTACATTACACTAAATGTTATTTGCTTGATTTTTATCTGACCATGTTCTGTTTTCCTCAGTAACAAATTAAGCAGAAGGTGTAATTTATTCAGAAACTATGTATATTTTCAAAACTCTTATGTTGTCATATGCTGCCAGGGCTCTCCACAATGATGTCACTATTGAAGTCTATCTCTTCAATAACTGTGATTGCCACTTTGTTTTCTTTTGCATACATGCACACCCCTTAGTATACTGCTGTCTTTATAATTTGTTAAGAGCTGAGCTTATTTTAAAGGAGAATGTCACTCTGTAAGTCACAACACGTTATCCCAGTTCCAGTCTATGTCAGTCTTTGAGAATAGGAAGAGTTCATAGTTCTTGCACTGCATCTATTCTCCCAGGTTTAATATTAGCTGTCAAGAAACATTACTGCAGCCTTCTGGTTGCATTAAAACTGGGTTTGTGATTTCTTTCAAAGACCTCTGTAATTGGTTCAAACTCCAGCAAGGAATGACACTCTTCCGTACAGGCTGCTGCTTTGGAAACAGAAAAGCAAGCATCAGAAAAGGGATGGCTCTCTCAACCACCTTCTGCCTTGGATCTAATTATTCAGCTCTGTCCTTTTCTTCTGCACAGTCCCCATTGGATTTTCCTTAAATTAATAAGGTCTTTGTTCAAATGTTTGGGGAGGGGGATCTTGGCAATCTCCTAATAGCTTAGCAACTTCCCAGCTTCAGCAAAATAGGTTTGATAATGACTTTGAGATCATTTTAATAGCAATCATTTGCAGTAACTTGCTAGATTCTCTCTCTCTCTCTCTCTCTCTCTCTCTCTCTCTCTCTCTCACACACACACACACACACACACACACACACACACAGAGAGAGAGAGAGAGAGAGAGAGAGATGCAGCATTTTTATTTATATTTGTATGCCAAGTATATGCCAATATAAACATTCTAACCTTGGATTCTAGGGAATGCGTGGAATATGTAAAAAGTTTCAACATTCCCCTTCTGGTATTAGGAGGCGGTGGCTATACAGTTCGCAATGTGGCCCGATGCTGGTGAGTCTTGTAAGAGTGTTGTGATAGGCTGGGGATAGCTTATCTTTCATGGCTGTAAGTTACTGTAAGCTGCTCAGAGTTACCTTGTGGTAAGATGGGTGGCTAAAAAATGTAATGAAGAAGTAAGTAAATGTCATAGATATGTGGCCTTTATGGAAATTGTCTGCCTTTCCTTTCAGGACTTATGAAACATCATTGCTAGTAGATGAAGCAATTAGTGAGGAGCTTCCGTATAGTGGTAAGTCAGGTTTTTCTGTGTTAAAATATAAACAATATTTTGTTTAACCTTTTCTTAGCCAGATATATAAACAATATTATACCATAAATCTTACTATATTGTAGTATATAACACAGTAACCTTTTTATATTTGTGCAGTAGTTTATACTTTGTGCATAATATGCAGTTTATAATAATGTCTCATTTACCATCAGTTTAAAGATGGACATTTTCATAATATAATTGAGAAATGTAAAAAAATTCCTCCTCCATACTATGTTTAGTGTAATTTCCCAGAAGTACTTTATTGGTTTATGATATTTATGAAATATTAGTTCATTAAAGCAGAATGTCTGGATATTGTACTGAAATAGCATAGCCAGAGTTGCCTTTAAAGTCAGCTTAGGAACATCAGTAAATCTTTAACAAAACAAAAGTTTAACATCAATGTACTGTCTTTTGCTGATTTCTAGCAATTTCTGGGCCTGTATTAAAGGGCTGCTTTTATTTTTTAGACTTCTAAAGTGACTTATAGCTACATTGTCTGAAGAATAGCCTCTTTACTCATGTATCAGCAATGATTTGTTAATGTTAAAGATCGTTTAGAAAAAAGCTGCATGTTAATATGCTAGATGAAGCAGGATATGCAACTAACACTAAGAATAAAAAGCATTAGGGAAATCTGCTGAGTTCCCCCCCCCCCAATTGTAGAGTAGCCAGTTATGAGATTTTAGCTGATAAAATCATAGGGCTAGAAGGGATCTTCGAGGTCTTCTAATCCAACCTTCTGTCCAAGACAGAAGATAGTCTGTGGGTTTACACTTTATGATATAAAAGGTCATAATAAATTACATGACTCAATGAAAAGAGTGAAAAAGTTAAGATTGTATTAATTCCTCAGAGAAATAACTCTCTTCAGTTGCTGTGCTTTGATGTGTGCTATATATGGATTTATCATACATACATACATACATACATACATTTCTCTTTTTTTATCCATAAAGAATACTTTGAATACTTTGCTCCAGACTTTACTCTCCACCCTGATGTCAGCACTAGAATTGAAAATCAGAACTCAAGGCAGGTGAGTATGTCCAGCTAGATGGACAACTTGGCCCTTTCCTTTATTTTTTTTTTACTTTTTTATTGTGTACAAAGGAAAAAAAAAGATTAAAAACATTGAACATGATAAATAGTCTTTGACATACATCTCCGTCTTGTCAGTTCATATTGTACAGTAATTACATATGATATATCTATATACAACTGTACATTCCTAGTCTCTATCCTAACTTATATCTTTGCTGTTGACCCCCATTTTTTTCCCCTCCATTTATAAAATTTATTCCAGATTCGATAAAATTCTGTTTCTTCCTGATTTTTTAATCTTTTAGTTATCTTGTTTAGTTCTGCGCAATACATAATTCTTAATTAGTGCTTCCCCACTTGGTACTTCCATCGCTTTCCACTTTTGAGCAAATAGTATCCTTGCCGCCGTTACGTGTATGATGAGATATGTGTCACCTTTATTTACATTTTTCCCTAGTATTCCTAATAGTAATGTCTTAGGTTTGTATTGAATGTTTTGCCTAGTGATTTCTATTGCCCATTCCCAGACCATAAACCTGAGCTTCTCTACATGTCCACCATACATGAAAAAATGTGCCCTTTTCTTTTTTGCATTTCCAGCATATAGGTGAGTATTCGTTATACATTTTAGCTAATCTGGCCGGGGGGAGATGCCATCTGTAAACCATCTTATACAGGTTTTCTTTATATGATGTCGCCAGTTTGATTTTGTTATTTCGTTCCCATACTTGCTGCCATTGATCCATATTTATATTATATCCTAAATCCATTGCCCATGTCACCATTGTTTCTTTAACCTGCTCCTCATATAGCTTATATTCCAATGAGTATTTATAAATATTCTTAATTTGTTTTTTCTCCGGGCCTAGCAGTATTTTATCTAACCCCGTATCTTGTCTGTTAATACCCCATTCTTGCTTATCCTTCATGTATCTTGCTTGTATCTGGAGATAAGACCACCATTCCAGGTCTATTCCTTGTTGTCTTAACTCTTGTTTTTGTTTTAAGTGACCTTCTTCTGTCAAGATGTCTTTATAAATAATAGCCTTGTCTTTCCTATATAGATTGGGATATGTAACTGCCTCTAATGGCGATAACCAAGCTGGGATCTTTGTATAATGTTGACATTTGACTATATTCCAGCTTTTTATTAGTTCTTGTCGAACCTTATGTCTTAAAAAGTACTGGTGGTTTCTGCTCTGCCCCGTCCATATATGAGCATGCCAACCCTGCTGGAGGTCGTAACCCTCTAAATGTAAACATCTTTTATTTTCTAAAGTTATCCAGTCTCTAATCCACGTCAGGGTCGTCAGGGTCGCTGCTTGGTAATATAGCTCCCAATCTGGGAAACCTAAACCTCCCCTCTCTTTGGCATCCTGTAATGGCTTTAATTTTATTCTTGCCTTCTTTCCTGACCACACAAATTCTAAAGTTAATTTATTCAACTCCTTGAAAAATTTCTTGTCTAATTGAATTGGGATGTTCTGAAACAGGAATATCATTTTGGCCCTTTCCTTTCCTTTATTTGCCTCCTTTCCCATAATATCTCCTTTAATTATTAGTTTCAAAAAATGTATTATTAGTACTTCTATTTATTAAAGTCCAGTCCTAATAGTAGATTAATTTTGTTACTATGCTTAACTTTGATGGCAGCAAAAATGACAGGAATTTCATAATCTTTGCTGAAGTGATTGGCTTGATAGGATTTTGCTGTATTTTCTGTTTTCTATGAAGTACTTAGATCAAATACGGCAGACAATATTTGAGAATTTGAAGATGCTGAATCATGCACCTAGTGTCCAGATCCATGATGTCCCTTCTGATCTTCTGAGCTATGATCGCACAGATGAGCCTGATCCAGAAGAGAGAGGTTCAGAAGATAATTATAGCAGGCATGTTTTTATATTTGTCCCTCAAATAAAAACCATGTATTTTAACCTGTTACTCAAGAGAAACTCCAGAGTTACCTCCTGGAAATCAGTATGTATTGATTGGGACTCTTGATATGATCTGTTTAATATCCACAGTGTTCTTTTTCAGAGCCATGTGTTTGTTGCATTTTTTTAGTGAGCAGATTCCATATTTATCCTTAATTGCTATATTATATCTTGCAGGCCAGAAGCTTCCAATGAGTTCTATGATGGTGACCATGATAATGACAAAGAAAGTGATGTTGAAATATGAGCCCTGAATCCTATAAATTTACACTATGTGAAATTGTCTGGATGATGAGACTCTTAAGGAGGCAATAGGTTCCAGCAGAAAGACTGCTCTTTCTACCCGTTTTCTGAAATGATATCAGCAGGACTGGTAAAAGATGGAATTATTTGAGTACAGAAGGCAATGAGGGTTGCCACTTGACCTGATCTTCAGCCATTAATTGTGGGAATAAACATTCATTACTTCAGATTCATGTATGTATACTTTGTTGCTCGGTGACCCTCTTCAATTCTCATTCTGCAACGACCATCACTCTTCACAAGGCTGCCGCTGTTCAAAAAAGGACAGGATTTGTATTGTATTTTGAACCATTTTTCTTTGATTTTCCTGAAGGACCTAATTAGAAATCTGTTGTAAAAAGCTTGCCTACATGGACATATCAGTTTATTGCAGCTATATGGCCAGAAACAGTGAAATATCCAATTGTAGGCTACTTGCATACGTACATATATAAAAATGCACTGAGCATGATCTAATGATGAATAAGAAGACTTATAATAAAATTAATTTTTAAAAAAGTTATTTTAAAAATCTAAAAATAATATCTATCCTATTATGTTTCCGACAAATCTCCAGTGCTGCTGTGCAGAATCTAGCCACCTGTGCCGTAATCACAGCCTGTTCGTCCTTAAGCAGCCACTGGAGATAAGTAGTGTCAGAATGGCCAGGATATCTATCGAATATCGGGAGGACATGGTTTTTTTCGAATATCTCTAGAAAGAGCATTGAAGCAGTATGTGTCCAATAGTCTCCACCTCTCCTGAGCCACCGGAGCAAAGTCTTTCAGTCAATGGTATCTTTTTATACTTGCTGTACAGGATGGCCGGTGGAAGCGCATGGCACTGTGCGAGCGAAAATGCTTTCCGGTGATTTGCTGACTCCAACTGGCTATTAGATATGTTGTTGGTGGGATATGTTGTTGGTGGGAGCAACAACATACCTAATAGAGTCTGGAGCCAGAAACAGCAGAGCTATCCCTAAGTCCGCTTGCCTCTTGATGCCCTCTACCTTTTGTCACAAGGTTTGTTATGGTCGTAGTCATCTATGTGGACAAATTTTCAGCTTCTATATCAATGGGAATTATAAACAGAGATCAGATAATGTTGGTGGATATTTTGCTTAACTATAGTAGAAGTGGAAAAGTCATATATTTAGCACTCCAATCGTGGATTATTTTAAAAATTATCTTTTAGTCCTGGTTGGAGATGTTATGAATTGCATGGCAACATGCCAATTGAGAAATTAATTTGGCAGGTTTTTGGTGACTTTATGCTCTATAGCAATGAAGGAGTATTATTAAAGGAAAGAGTCCCGGACCAAAAATTAATATTCTTCAGTGTATCCATCTTTTGCTATGTGTTAATTCCTAAAAGTCCTGTATTTTGAGTTTAGGTATTATTCATACTTGAATTCTAAAAGAAAGAAAATATAAGGATACTTTCAACAGAAACATATATCCCTCTCCCTTTTTTGCCCTATTCAACATTGTCCTGATATCTGAAGTATTTGAGGGGGCTGAAATGGAAAGAGATTTCCCAACTTTAATTCCTCCTCATCTAATGTGGACTTAAATCTTTTTAATTAAACTACATGTGCTGAAGATAGTTGCCAACACTTTGATCAGTTCTTTGCAGCTAAAATGACAGGCAGTTGCCCTTCTCTTATTTTTTACCTGTGGACTTAAAATATTAAACGCAATATTTCTTATCTTCTCTTTTGTTCATTCCCGGTTTGTCCCGACATGGCTTAAAAGTTCATACAGGTAATCCTCGAGTTACGATAGTTCACTTAGCAACCGTTTAAAGTTACAACATCACCCCCCAGAGTACTAATGACAGTCCCAAGGTTACGAATGTTTCAGCACCACAGCAGTTGTTCATTGCAGAGACACTGCAACATTTGCCCTGCCTATTCCTCCCCCTCCCGCTGGATCTCCACAGGCACTGGGCCTGCGGAGACTCACCTTGCAAAGATCTAGTGAACTGTCTCCTTTCCAGCCTCTCTGCCACAGTTTCTTTGCCTGCTTCGGTGCTTCAAGCCTTCCATGCATTCAGAGAGAATTTGCTACTGATCTCACATGATCTTGCGCTATTTCAGGCCTCCATTCTCTGCAAAAGGAGCCTGAACAAGATCTGCACCAAAAGGCTTTGCAAATGGACAGGAGGCTTCGCTGTTTAAGGCCTTCCGTTTATTTGCCATTTCCTTGCTGAAGCCTGCAGGGGTGAGAGATTGTGTCCCTGCAGGCTCTAGTTGTCTTTGCAAAAAGCTTTTGCCACCAAGAATGGAGGTTGGGCTTCACTCTTCGCGCCAAAAGCTTTTTGCAAAGACAACTGGAGCTTGCAAGGATGCAGGCAAAGAAACCACAGCAGAGAGGTTGGAGAGGACACCACTCACTTGATCATCCAGATCTTCAAAAGGTGAGTCTCCACAGGCCCAATGCCTATGCCCTATGGAAACCTGGCGGAGCAGGATGGGGGGGGGGGGAACATGAAATATCTCAGTGGGTCGGGGAAGACCTTTGGTGGTTGGAAGCACTAGGTTCCATCGTCTTCCCCAGCTTGAGATACCTCATATGCACTTAACAATTTGACATTCAATTAGCGAATGCAATAAGTAAATCAAGGATTTACGATTTAACAAATTCCTCAGGTTACGAGTGTAATTAGCAGGTTCTATTACATTTGTAAATCGAGGACTACCTGTATTTAATAGCTACTGAGATACACCATAAATCTAAAATTGCACTGACTGTGACTTTGTTCACTGCCAGAACTGCAAAACCTGGCACTCAGCTTGGGAGGTTCCCTCAGAAACCACTGCAAAAGAAGGCTGGCTCCTTTGCCCAGTGTTTTTCCATAGTCTCATATGTGAGAAGATTGAGAGGAGCTCAACAGCAGACTGAGGCAAGGCTGTAGGATTACTTCACTTTAGCCTTAAAGATGCACTTTCAAAAGCCTTAAAGAGGAGCATGATGTCTGAGCTACACACAGCACTTGTGTTCTTTTTAAGGTGCCCCAAGTTAGTTTCCTGATGTTAAAAAAACTGATTGCCTGAGGTTCTTTTATGCATTTCTATTGCAGCTTTCTGATGGGTGTGTTTCCTTCAGGACATATCACAATTAAAAGAAAAGGCAAAGCCACAACGATCACAGAAATATCTAATAAAGGTTATAAAGTTAGAACAAGCAGAGCCTAATACCATCAAAAGATGCATTGTATAATGGATGAATGGCAATCTAAAACAAAGGTCTCTTGCAATTCGAATTCTCGGTGTTTTGCACCAGCTGCTATGGCCACTATGTTCTAACCAATATGCCTGCCTCACAATAGAGACATAAACAGCAATTTCTCCATCATATTTTAGGAAATGGGAGGAAGCTTCCTGAAGGAATCCCAGATTTGAATACATTAACATTTTAAAAGTCATTGTCAGCATTTTGGCTATGAGTAATAGCCCAAAAAAAGCATGTGAAATTTCTTTCCTGTTTGGAAACTTTCTGTGTCTAACTTTAAGTGTTCCACGTTGAAATGACAATCTCCCCCTTGCTCTTTATGAATGTATTATGCTATGTAATAAGAAGTAGGCCTTATAATGGACTATTTCTAATTCAGTTTCCTGCACATAAGGTAAAACCCACTGAATTCAGTGACAAAAGACAAAGAGGAAGGACAAGGGTGATGTCGTCATGTCTTGTGAAGACCGGAAAAAAAAGAAAGCAGCAGCCCTTGCTGCTGAAACTGAGCAATTGATTTCATATCCTCTCCCAGAAGGAAACACAGATAGCTAAAGAAATATCTTTGTTAAATGTTCCAGTGATAGGAAATAAAGTAGCTCAGACCCTCCCTCCTCCTCCTCCAAAAAAGAGGTGTTTCTAAGTGAGAATTCACTTTTCAGACTGGACAACTTTTTAGGAAAAGTGTGTTGACTCCCAGGTGCAAAGATTAAAGATGTGACAGGTTTACTAAAATACTCAAGCCCATTGATTATTATCTCTTTCTCCTCTTTCATGGTGGGACAAGCAATACAACTAAGAGTCTAAAATCAATTTCAAAGGACTATGATCAACTAAGCAGAAAAGCAAAGGATCTGAATGTTCAGATTATTTTTTTTTCATCTGTACTTCAGCAATAGGTCAACATCTAATGAGGGACTGGAGAATTTTAGAAGTAATCTGTGGCTTCAAGGAATGGTGCCATCATGAGAATTTCTGATTTCTAGATCATGGTTTACCTATCTACAGGAGAGGTTTTAGCAAGTGATGGATTACACCTTACAACGACCAACAAGAATGTGTTTGGAAAACAACTAGCTCAGCTCATCTTTAAAGGTCTTTAAACGAAATCTGGAGGGGAAAGGAGACCAAATGATATGATTAAGCCCAAAGCATAAACTCCAACACAATAAACCAGACAATGAGAAAGGGTGTGATGAAAGGAAGGGGCACACAAGTACAAATCAGAAGACACAAGAAGCAAATCCAGGGTCAGCCATAAAGGGTGATGACTATACACAAATACTCATATTATGGGGAACAAACAGGAAGAGCTTGAAATCCCAATACATGAGGGCAGGTATGACATTATTGCTATTATTGAAACCTGGTGGGATAAAGCCCATGACTGGAATACACAACTAGATGGATATCAATTATTCAAAATAAACAGATCCAACAAAAGAGGGGAGGGTTGCATTCTATGTAAGGAATTACTATACCTCTACAGAAATGCATAATAACAAAAATGAAAACCTTGAAAGTATTTCAGTAAATATAAGAGGAAAACAAATCGACTTTGCCATAGATATGTCCTACAGCCATGCAACCCACAGTGGAAATACTGTAGATGAATGTTTTACTAATAACTATAGTAATGGGGGACTTTAACTACCCTGACATCAACTGGGAAACAAATTCTTCAGCAAGTGGGAGATCAAATAGGTTCCTGATGTGCCTAGCTGACAATTTTATCATACAAAAGGTAGAGGAAAGAAATAGAGGAATAGCAATACTGGACTTAATCCTTACTAATAGGGACAAAACGATTGAGAGAGTAGAAGTTATAGGAACTTTGGGGGAGAGTGTTCATGTCATACCAGTTCTCCAGCATGATGAATGTAGCATCCACCGGGGGGTAATCTCAGCCTTCCTGCTCAGTTGAGACTAAGTCAGAACTTTAGCCACGCCTCCCCTGGGCAGTGCCTTCCCAGTTTTTGACTTAGTCTCAGCTCAGTAGGACGCAATTTGTTTGGCTCTTCAGTTATGCTAGTTAAAATAGATATAATTCAGGTTTATTGCAAGTAAATTGGATTTAGGTTTTAGGATTGGTTTCTGTAAATTGTTAGAATTAAATTTGGCTTAATTTAAAGGGATCCAAGAGCAACTTGGGTGTTCTCTGAGCCCCAAGGGCCTTACAGACCTTTTGCGGGCTGAATTTCAAGCCGCGCCGGATTGCCGAGAGATTTATCCCCGAATCAGCTGTTTGGCGCTGTAAACGGAGGCTTATTCATCGGAGGTTCTCGGGAGCGCAGCTCGATCAGGCGGACTCATTTTTCCAGCCTCGTGGCCACGAGGTCTCTGCAGATGTACACAGTGATCCGGATTGCAGCGGAGGCTGCGCAACTTAAACGCAAGTTGTCTGGGCTTTATAGCAAAAAAGGGGAGGAAAGGCATTAGTGAACTAAATTCCCTCACACCTTTCTTGGTCTGGACGGTCTGTACAGATTGGTGATTTCTCCCTGGGGCATCGCCATTTTGGGTGACGAAGAGGCTCACAGACGCCATTTTGAATAACAACAACAGGCGTGGTCGCCATTTTGAGGGCCCTCGTGTGCTATAGTAGTACCATCGGGCCTGATCCCAGTTCAATTTGGCCTGCTGTGCTGGGCTTTCAAGGGGGATTTCCAGCACTCTTTGCTCATTTCTTTCCTATTCAAGGAAATAGACAAAAGGGTGCGGCCGCCATTTTGGATTTCACTAGTGATCACAATTATACAGCACCAATCCTATTCTTTCTGTACCATCTTCTGAGGGGGAATTAATTTAGAATCCACCTGTTCTTATTAGTTCGTGGCACTGGACCAGCAGGGTCTGAACAGACAGTTTTAGCGAACTGTCTGGCTATTTGTCATCACGGTTGATCAGAGCGCAGGAACTTCCCTCTCTGATAACCAGGTCTGCGTGTTGTTTCTTCCCCCCTTCCTGGACATCTCCTACTTGGAATATCCAGTGTGCGATGGCAGATAGTGCAACTCCTCAGGCATCGCAGGGCTCTGATGTTCCCCCCCACACAAAAAAGCGCAGATCTTCTGATTTGGACGTGGGGGGAAAGAAAAAGGCCAAGACAAAGAACATAGAGCCCTCCAAAGTAGCTGAGCGAGAGGCCTCAAGGAGACATCAGGCACTGGAGAAGGAGTTCTCCAGAGCTCAAAGGCTCAGGTCCAGTAAGGCTGAAGTGGTTCCCCCCGTTTCACTGGACCCATCCCCATTCGGGCCTCAATTCGCGCCTTCTCATGATGCCCCTAGAGCATGATCTCCTCAGGGGGAAACTGAACAGGTTGGTCCCTCTCCTCCTCCCCCTCCTCCTCCTCCTTCTTCCATCACACAACAGGCCCCTGAAGCAGCATACACTCCCACTGCAGCTAGAATTCATTATTCAGACCAACAGGAGGCATGGTCAGAGCAGTTCCAGGCGTTCATGCATCATGCCTTTGGAC